CGGATGCTGTACGACGTCTTTGCCTCTGGTGAATACATTTCCGAGTGTTTTACTAGGGTAAGTACATTTATTATTTTCTAGGCTTGCACAACTGATGCAACGGATTGTGGGTGTCAAGTAGACTTTTGTTGTTGAGTATATTTAGATCAGAAATCTGTGATATGTGGTCACAAATGTATCATCCAAAACATTGTTCCACTGGAGATACTGCTTGTGTGAGATCCAAGGTGATATCGTTTTGGCAGTTTGTACAATGACAATGCTATGACGTCATGAATTTGAAGACGTCACAATGCAATGACATCGCTGCTCTGCAAGTCGAATGGCAGTACCTGTTCAGAGAATTTCATTGAAAACTAAAGAAGAGTGATTTTTGATGATAAATAGAATCTCAGTCACCCCCGTGTGTTCTGACATCAAATATATCAACACTCAATGATAAAACTAAAAATATCCTCGGCAAGTCTCGGATATTTGTATTTTTATCACATTGTGTTGACATAATTGATTTCAGTAGACACATGGATGAGATTCTCTTTATATTCAGACCCCACGCCTAACAGTTCAAAGGCGCGGAAACGTAAACAAACAAGCGGTGTCTACACACGTTGTCAGCGCAAATATTTTATACACACCACTTAACTATTTTGTGCACATGCTAGACTAACGCTCGCTCATTCTCTGAATACATTGATAGAAACAAACAATTACTTTTAACTTGAATAGGGGCCCCAGTGAGAAGGGAGACTCTAAGGATAATCTAGACTTGCTTCATTTAAGGATTTAGCATTGCAGAAAGGCCTGTGAGGGAAACTATGCATATGCCTGCTCTTGGCGTTTGCTCTTGTATCTTATCTGTGATGAGTATACACAAAGTACACTCTTCTACACAGAAGGCTATATATCAGGTGCCTGTACATCAAAGCACTTCCTGTATGATATCTACAACTAGCTATAGCTCAAACACCCTTGATCGTTGTAAATTTTCAAAATTCGAACTGGGTTTTTCTGATGTAGTAGAACCTGCCTCTACAAGGCTCCGTTGAAGTTTACTTCAGCGGACAGTTTTTTCGCTAGTTCGTTCTGTTTCTCTTTTCGATCACCATATGCAAAAAGCCAAGTACATGTGGTAAAGGTCTTTGAGGTGCGTTTAGAAGTTGGAGTATTTATTTAGGGAAAGATATATGGGTAAACAACTTTTTTACACTTATGGCATGAAAGACTGCTAACAGGATCTGCACCCTATGCAATAACCCAGTACATGTACTAAAGGTCTTTGAGGCTGGAGTACTTATTTAGGGAAAGATATATGGGTAAACAACTTTTTTACACTTATGGCATGAAAGACTGCTAACAGGATCTGCACCCTATGCAATAACCAAGTACATGAACTAAAGGTCTTTGAGGTTTGAGTACTTATTTAGGGAAAGATATATGGATAAACAACTTTTTTACACTTATGGCATGAAAGACTGCTAACAGGATCTGCACCCTATGCAATAACCAAGTACATGTACTAAAGGTCTTTGAGGTTTGAGTACTTATTTAGGGAAAGATATATGGATAAACAACTTTTTTACACTTATGGCATAAAAAGCTGCTAATATGATCTGCACCCTATGTAATAACCAAGTACATGTACTAAAGGTCTTTGAGGTTGGAGTACTTCTTTAGGGAAAGATATATGGATAAACAACTTTTTTACACTTATGGCATGAAAGACTGCTAACAGGATCTGCACCCTATGCAATAACCAAGTACATGTACTAAAGGTCTTTGAGGTTTGAGTACTTATTTAGGGAAAGATATATGGATAAACAACTTTTTTACACTTATGGCATAAAAAGCTGCTAATAGGATCTGCACCCTATGCAATAACCAAGTACATGTACTAAAGGTCTTTGAGGTTTGAGTACTTATTTAGGGAAAGATATATGGATAAACAACTTTTTTACACTTATGGCATAAAAAGCTGCTAATAGGATCTGCACCCTATGCAATAACCCAGTACATGTACTCAAGGTCTTTGAGGTTTGAGTACTTATTTAGGGAAAGATATATGGATAAACAACTTTTTTACACTTATGGCATAAAAAGCTGCTAATAGGATCTGCACCCTATGCAATAACAAAGTACATGTACTAAAGGTCTTTGAGGTTTGAGTACTTATTTAGGGAAAGATATATGGATAAACAACTTTTTTACACTTATGGCATAAAAAGCTGCTAATAGGATCTGCACCCTATGCAATAACCAAGTACATGTACTCAAGGTCATTGAGGTTTGAGTACTTATTAAGGGAAAGATATATGGATAAACAACTTTTTTACACTTATGGCATAAAAAGCTGCTAATAGGATCGGGTGCTCAGCCTGGCTGACTTAGTTGATGCATGTCTTCGTATCTCAGCTGGGTTCATCGATGCTCATTCACTGGATTGTCTGTTCCATATTCGATTATTTCCGACCGCTTTCATTTAGCACATCTGCTGAGCACGGTGTTTTAGAAATACACCATGTATAGCGTAATAAAGCGCACTTTCGCCCTGAACTATTATATACTGGACAAAAATAGTTAGGGATATATGTAAATTTTGATATTATGAATACTGATCTATTTATTCATTTACACACTGATAAAATATCAATAATTAAAATACCAATATCCCTAACTTATTTTGTCTAGTATAGTTAAAGCACGAGGGCGCTTGCGTCCGAGTGCTTTAACGTTATAATAGTTCAGGGCGAAAGTGTGCTTTATTACACTATACATGGTGGTAGAACGAACTGTATTTATTTTCTAAGATGCCAAATTTAATACTTTCTAAGGATAATTACGATCAATCTAGGGCAGAAAACAAACGACGGTGTCGGTGACCTAAATTAAGAATCCTTGCACAGGGCTAACTGGCGCGCTGTTCTATTGATGTGTCAGTCCCCCTACGTTAAGACGAACGTTACCAGAAAAAAACAAATGATAAACAGTTTGATGACGGTTTCCGTTCGGATTAAATATCTTCTCTAAATTATTTTAATTAAATCTGTGATTAACGTAAACCTTATGGGGCAATATGAACGTCGCATTTCTACTATCAACGTAAGTTTAGATCAGTATTCAAGCGACATTCCACGATTGCATTGTGGGAATGTAAACATTGCGAACGTTACCGCGTCGCTGAAAACTTGTCAGTCGAATTGAGACATTTTAAAGGTTGGATAACATAAACGTAATGTTTCCACCAGTGACGTTAGCTGCGTGAAGCAACTGTAAACCAAGAAACGGGATGCAACGAAGTAGTTTACTGTAGGAGGCTGTACGAGGCGATGACAACTGACATGCATCGTGACGTTGCTTACATTGTGAGGTAATGCAAAATTGTTCGATTACGAGGGGGGCAGACTAGAATGGCATTACATTGTGACGTAATGCAAAAAGTGCACATTATCGTCTGATAAAGTACTGTCGGCACCTTTGATCTTCCACCGAAGCATCTTAGAATTAGAAGATAAAGCTACTCTGTTTTCAATTTTGCGGTCCTTTATCGTTGATTTAAGACCGCTAAATGTTTAATTTAAAACCTCACGATAACGCGTTCGGTTTTTACATTACATTTAGCGGTCTTAAATCAACGATAAAGGACCGCAAAATTGAAAACAGAGTAGCTTCATCTTCATTCTAGCACAACTGATAAGCGTTTTAAAACAGAACTGTTTGGCGCGCAAGAAGACAAGGCGCGAAGGGGGCCTTTTTCCTGGAAATCGCTTGGAATCGTCCCGTATAGGGACAGGTTGTGTAATTGTTGATAACCACCCTACTATTCCCAATTTGGAAAAGACCTGACATGCCACGTTTCATGTAGGATACATGGACAGTTGAAGTGGAAGGACTGGGCATTATGGCCGGGACGGAAGCGGTCAGATTAGGACGTGTGGGCCGACGTGTGTTGTCGACGTCAACACACGTAGATCTTGACCCGGTTTGAATATACTGTCGCTTTTGCGCTGCTGACGGATTTTCCAGCTTCGTAGTTTCTTCACTGGGATTAGGGTAAAGAAATTCTTCTTCAAAACATTCGCTTTTTACTTCAAAAACACAAAAGATGCTGCCGAGATAGAAATTGCCGATGTCCGACATGTTTGTTTACAAACAATAGGGTCAACGAGTTCGTTGTATTCATACGCGGTGAATCGGTCACTTTAATTAGCGGTCTTAAACACCCATTTAAGTACGGTTTTGATGAGCTCTCAGCCAATCAGAATCGAGTATCACACAATGTCGTGCTAGAATAACAAATTTAACATGCAAACAATCAAACAGTTGTTTCACTTCGGCGAAACGTTCCGGTGTAGATGCTTGATGGGCATTTAAAAATTGGAAGGTAACACAACAACGTAGGACATAGTGTAGTTTACATACCGTTATCAAGCAACTGAGGAGGCTGCCCCCCAGAATTATTATCCATCCTTATCCAGGTAGCCCATGTCCCAAGTCAGTAGGTAGGTCCCCACATGGGTACAATGAGTAAAGCCCATTTCTGGTGTCCCCCGCCGTGATATTGCTGGAATATTGCTAAAAGCGGCGTAAAACCAAACTCAGTCAGTCAGTCAGTAGGTAGGTTGTTAAACGCCCTTACCACGATACACACACGTGACGCCCATTCTCATCAAAATGTACTGACGGGTTTTTTTTATAAATGGATGCAAGGTAACAAATATACCCAAGGCAATACAAACGTCGACTCATTCCACGTAAATGTATTTCAGTCATCACTGGTAATAATCCGTGAAATGTCGACTGTAAGTGCCATAATCTTCAACGCGATGTTCAAGCCAGTCTCACCACCATCAAAATACGCCGGTCCCCCGTTGCACCTGACCCCCGTAAACTAAAGAAGCTGTGAACCAAAGTCCACCTATCTTCAAACTTACCTTGCCCCACGTTATTAAAATTGTGGTAATGCGCGTGTCATGTCCCCATGTCTACAATCATTTTTCTCTTACCTGGATATTTAGCGTTTTCCATTTGTCAAGATAGCAAGTATCCCTTAGGTATGTTCCAGGTAAATTTGCAGGTGAGCGTCCAGGTAGATATACAGGTGAGCGCCCAGGTAAATGTTCAAGCGACTGTCCAGGTGTTTTAATTGTTTGTTATTGTATCCGGCGGCGAAGACTGTTACGTCAAAAGTACTGCGACCAGAGTCTTGTCACACATACATCATTATGTGCTGGGCAGAGGGCAGTGTGTATGCGCCTGTTGGTTTGAGTGGGGAGTATGCTATCATCCGGGAGCCCCATAACCCGGCTTAAGTAGGTCGCGGGGGTTGAAATAGATATATGACTTGACTGGCTGTGATATATACAAGTATTGTTATCATCTCGACGTATTATTGACATAACTCGGATGTAGACTTGAAAACGTTTATTTTGGAGTAACTATTGATAGATGCAGCCTGTGGTATGGGCATAGTGACACTAACTTTTGCAATGTCATCGCTGCCAAATTGTCTGACTAGAGTATGTCTCTTTAAGTGCGATTCCCAATGGGGTGGATAGAATGAGTTTACTGTGGGGCCGAGCGTTTTGGGGGCTGTAAAGTTTATTAATCCTATTGTTTGTATTTCGATTAACATTTTTTTTATTTCATTGCATTTCGTTTCATTTTTATTTCATGTTATTTATTTTATTATCCCCCGCCGCGCGTTTAGCGCGAAGCGGGGGATATAGTATTAGGCTCCGTCCGTCCGTACGTACGTACGAATTGGAATATCTTAAGAACCGTTTACTAGATTCTTTTCATAATTGGTACCTAGGTTCATCACAGTATAAGAAAGGTCTAAGTCAGGTTTGGTGACCTTGACCTTCATTTCAAGGTCACAAGGGGACTTTAACGTTTTACCTGCATGTTACGCTATCTCAAGAACCGTTCACTGGATTTTATTCATATTCAATACGAAGCTTTATCTAGGGAAGGCGCAGGGCCCAGTCGATTTTGGTGACCTTCACTTAATTGTCAAGGTCACAGAGACACTTTGAAGATTTGAGCATGTTAACCTGACTGTCAGCAAGATATTTCCAAGACTTTCAAGACTTCCCTTAAATGTTTTCCAAAAAGCAATTTCTTTAGTTAGGTACTATTTTTGCATATTTCATACACTATGACATTCATGTCAAAGTCAGTCTTGAAAATATGTGTGTGTTTGAACACCTAAAGAGCAAGACATCAAGAGAGGTTGACTGGTCATGTTTTTGTTGACATTTAACTTAAACTTTCATTACTTTATAAGTTTGATTTGATAATTTGCGGCGGGGGATTATGTCGCCTTAGTGACAATGCTTGTTTTATTTAACGTATTCTTTACAATTCCCTTTTAGGGGTGTGGGGTGGGGTGGGGTGGGTGGGTGTGTGTGGCTGGCAGGGGTTGGTATGTGACTTTGGATTCGATGTGCTACATCACACATGTACAATATTTTCACATATTTTCAATACAAAAGATGCTGCCGAGATAGAAATTGCCGATGTCCGACATGTTTGTTTACAAACAATAGGGTCAACGAGTTCGTTGTATTCATACGCGGTGAATCGGTCACTTTAATTAGCGGTCTTAAACACCCATTTAAGTACGGTTTTGATGAGCTCTCAGCCAATCAGAATCGAGTATCACACAATGTCGTGCTAGAATAACAAATTCAACATGCAAACAATCAAACAGTTGTTTCACTTCGGCGAAACGTTCCGGTGTAGATGCTTGATGGGCATTTAAAAATTGGAAGGTAACACAACAACGTAGGGCATAGTGTAGTTTACATACCGTTATCAAGCAACTGAGGAGGCTGCCCCCCAGAATTATTATCCATCCTTATCCAGGTAGCCCATGTCCCAAGTCAGTAGGTAGGTCCCCACATGGGTACAATGAGTAAAGCCCATTTCTGGTGTCCCCCGCCGTGATATTGCTGGAATATTGCTAAAAGCGGCGTAAAACCAAACTCAGTCAGTCAGTCAGTAGGTAGGTTGTTAAACGCCCTTACCACGATACACACACGTGACGCCCATTCTTATCAAAATGTACTGACGGGTTTTTTTTATAAATGGATGCAAGGTAACAAATATACCCAAGGCAATACAAACGTCGACTCATTCCACGTAAATGTATTTCAGTCATCACTGGTAATAATCCGGGAATGTCGACTGTTAGTGCCATAATCTTCAACGCGATGTTCAAGCCAGTCTCACCACCATCAAAATGCGCCGGTCCCCCGTTGCACCTGACCCCCGTAAACTAAAGAATCTACAAGTGAACCAAAGTCCACCTATCTTCAAACTTACCTTGCCCCACGTTATTAAAATTGTGGTAATGCGCGTGTCATGTCCCCATGTCTACAATCATTTTTCTCTTACCTGGATATTTAGCGTTTTCCATTTGTCAAGATAGCAAGTATCCCTTAGGTATGTTCCAGGTAAATTTGCAGGTGAGCGTCCAGGTAGGTTTACAGGTGAGCGCCCAGGTAAATGTTCAAGCGACTGTCCAGGTGTTTTAATTGCTTGTAATTGTATCCGGCGGCGAAGACTGTTACGTCAAAAGTACTGTGACCAGAGTCTTGTCACACATACATCATTATGTGCTGGGCAGAGGGCAGTGTGTATGCGCCTGTTGGTTTGAGTGGGGAGTATGCTATCATCCGGGAGCCCCATAACCCGGCTTAAGTAGGTCGCGGGGGTTGAAATAGATATATGACTTGACTGGTTGTGATATATACAAGTATTGTTATCATCTCGACGTGTTATTGACATAACTCGGATGTAGACTTGAAAACGTTTATTTTGGAGTAACTATTGATATATGCAGCCTGTGGTATGGGCATAGTGACACTAACGTTTTGCAATGTCATCGCTGCCAAATTGTCTGACTAGAGTATGTCTCTTTAAGTGCGATTCCCAATGGGGTGGATAGAGTGAGTTTACTGTGGGGCCGAGCGTTTTGGGGGCTTTGAAGTTTATTAATCCTATTGTTTGTATTTCCATAAACATTTTTTTATTTTTAAAATTTTATTTCATTTGGTTTCATTTTTATTTCATGTTATTTATTTCATTTTATATTATCTAACGTATTCTTTACAATTCTTTTTTTAGGGGTGTGTGGGGTGTGGCAGGGGTTGGTATGTGACTTTGGATTCGATGTGCTACATCACACATGTACAATATTTTCACATATTTTCAATACAGCCCTGGCGGAATTTGCAGTTTCGTTGTTATTCAAGTCTAATGTTTAAGCTCGGCCCCAGTGGTCAGCTCACTTTAAGATAAGCCTGTTTGCGTTTGTGCTCCGACCCCTTCAGACACGTGGGAGAGAATCGTGAACTACGTCTATGATGGGTAAAGAAATGTTGTTGACACAACGGGACAGTAGATATGGCCTGGAAGGACAATGGGACAATATGAAGGGCCAGTCAGTCAGTATCTACTCAATAAACATTATACGGTCTTCATGTTCAACAGCGTAGTTGGGATACTGTGGCGGGACATTACAAGATTACAAGTAGTGAAGATTGTTGTTCGGGTTTGTATACACGGTGATAAAGATTGTTTATAACCTGATACTATCCCCCCGCTGTCTATCGTATTTTCACGTAAAACAGTATTGGTTGTTTGTGTGGTGATTGAAGCCTCACCCAGATGTATCAGTGTTATACATTGTCAAACACATCACACATATGTCCTCAAACACATACAAGATATGCTTAGATCTAAACACATTTAAGCACGTGTTAATTCAAAACGGAATACACATTTGCTGTGTTCATTTCTAAAAAGGTACAGGGTCTGCAGATATAAAACTCTCACGTAAAGCGGCGAGAAGTTGCTGATTCAAATTGTTTTCATTCCCGAGGAAACAAACCATTCCGACACAAATATAGATGATTAAAACGGTTTCCATATATGTTCAGATATTATCACTAACCATAAAAGATAATGAAATCGTTCAAATTAGTAAGTGATCGAGACCATCCTGTCATTAACCAGTGGAGCACTAACCTCATCACAAATCAACTGAAAATATTTCCCAATCACCTTAATGTCTAAAAAGCAAAGATTGTTAGTGAAAAGGAATTGATAGGTCTTCCGACACCGCCGTTTCAATCTTCTGGCAGTTAAATGACACAAACTATTCTTTTGTGCCATGGAATATTGTGTGCACGAAATTAATAAGAAATGAAATCAGTTTCGTTACAGTACTTTAATCAGGTACTAGTTACAGATCCATTTACTCGCCAATACTCGGATAATACTCAGCAACCCGAGCTTGTCGTAAGGGGCGACTGATGAGATCGGGTGGCCTCGGCCCGATCCACAAAGCGTTCATAACTTCATGACCGGTCGTAACTCTATTTTTACCATTGGCTCACGAATGTCGTAGCGCCACGAACGCTTTGTGGATCGGAACGCAGGCTCGCTGACTTGCTGTCGCTGCATCAATGCTCATAATAGCAATCATTGGATTGTCTGGTTCAGGCTGTATTATTTACAGAACGCCGTAATATAGGTCAAACATTGCTGAGTGAGGCGTTACACAACATACACAAACAAAACTAATAACGTCGCTTTTGACGTTTTCACGTTGCTGTGACGTCAAACAGTGCCATGACGTCAGGACATTACCAAGGGAACAAAACACAGAACCCTGAGTAAAGGTAATAAACACTAATGGTTAGAACACTAACGTTTAATAGATTACAGTTGCAGTGGGCAGTCCAGCCATATTACGTCTCAGTAACGTTAGATTTCCTATTCAGTTTCTGGTCTGGTTATAAGCAGTTCCGTTTACCACACTCTCTGACACATATACTTTAGGAGTCATACCATCACTGTGGCATTCACACAACATCGATCCATCGCAATATATGAAATGGTTGTTGACACAATCAGATTCGTAAACAAGGACCGTTGTGTCTCCTGTTGTAACTTGGTTGTCAAATCATTAAGCATACATCTAGAAACGGTCGTCCGATCACAAAACATTTCCTAACACCCTGTTCTGGCTAAAAATCTGGCTAAAAATCAATCAAATTACTGAAACGACATTTTTCTTATATGGCTAACTCAAACGACGTATTCTCTCATAACTATCAAATTACTAAAACGACATATTCTCATATAACTAAGAAATTGTTGAACGACGTATTCTGATATGCCCATCAAATTAGTAAACGACATATTCTGATGTAACTACTAATAACAAAAACGACATTCTGACATTACAGTCACATAAATGCAGCGAAAGAATAAATTACGAAAGCAATATACATATTTTCCGATTATATGTGAAATACCTAAAGCTAATTTACACAGATCTACATATTAACTCACTAAAGTGATATGTTTACTGATGCTTAATCTACATTCTTACTATCAATACCTGAAAGACATAACCGAAGGGACTATCTAAATACAGCACGTGTTGACGTAGCCATCAAAATGAAGAAAACATAACTACAAAAGGAGGTAGAGCTGCTCGTATCAAACGATACATGACATAGCTGTCAAATATAGTACTCACACTTTGCTAAGGATCACACAAATTTCCAACTTTACTTAAACATAGATTTATAACTTGAAATTGTATACATTTAAAACTAGATAATAATGATATGGTAACCCTTCTTTAGGCAAACAACCACTTTAATCTAACCATATGCACTTGATACATGAGTAACCATAAAAATGGTTTTCATGGCACCAATCAACCATTTTGCAAATCATGGAACGAGTCATTGACAAGTACACAACACCTGTCAATAGCAGGTATGGGATCCATAAGATGTAGCGACATACTGAAACCTAGGATGCATGCTTACAATGAGCTTAGATATTTAAAGCAAATTAAATCCCACATCATAGTTTTCTGTTGAATCAATGATTCTTAGCAAAGTGTGAATAGTATATGTTGAAACGACATACTCTTATATAACAATCAAATTACAACGACACATGATGATGAAGCTACGGAACGACATATCGTGATAGAATATGTTTCTGAAACTCTACATTTATGATATATACTACCCATCAAAGGTTTAGACTCACTAGTGTAAATGTAGCCACTTACTTCAGTCAACTGTTCTATGCTAGATTTTGCATATTATTCCATGCTGTTTAAAGGTGCTGTTTACATATGAACTGATGTATTGTAAAACAAATTCATAACGTTGAAAAGGTTATTGTCATGAGTTCAATAAATGATGAAACTCAGTGAAAATTGGGCGAATTCTTAACAACCTTTACACCAGCTGTTAACATGCACGATATTTGCACATGCTTTTCAGCAATTTGATGTATGATCCTCGTTCAATTCATGTGCATACGGTTTGCAGTTGGTTCCCCCAAGTTAGTGGAGAAATTCATCTTCAATATAACCAGATCTATATACATTACATATAGTGAGCTCTTTTAGTGAGTCTAAACCTTTGATGGGTACTATAATTATTTAATTGTTAAAACAACGCCACATGACGATGCAGCGATCAAATTGGTGAAAATGACAGGTGCTGGTATGTACAAAAATAGGACTCTAATTACGCCATCGGTGTTGAACATTGTTATTCCATAAATCGGGTGAGCATTCTGGTGGGACGCTTGTTATGTAAAATACATCAACTTGTATAAACATGTGCACTGTAGCTTCAGTTATACTTATTGAACATATTCAGCTGGTTACACATAATGAAGTACACGAGTATTTATCACCTTAAGAGATCAACTCATATTGTAGGTAACCATCCTATAATTCAGGTGGGGGCACGACCTCCAACAGTAGCTGTGTCCATTCAGTCAGTTTGTCTGAAACATGGTGTAAAGAAATCTCATTGTCCATTGCCAAACGCGGTTTTAAATACATCAGCGTTCAATTGTACAATAGCTTTGAAATAAAATAGGTACATGTGTCTTTATGGAAAGCTTATATTCCATGGGTACTTATACATTCCCACATTTACTGGATGTTTTGGAAGTGAGCATAAGGCTTTATCTCAAAAGGCGCGGGTGGTGGAGGAGGTGTAGAGGTCAGGACTGGTTCGAATCCTGGGTTATCCCTGTTTATGAAGTCTTCACCATGATGAAAAGAGACGCCCTGCATCAAGTAGGGTCTTCTTCACACATCGATTTCTTTAAAGTGTTCGACCGACTCGAAGCTCGAGTTCTCACATGGGTAAAATGTGTGAAGCCAATTTCTGGTGTTCCCATCATATTGATGGAATATTGTTGATGGGATATACGCATTCATTTACCAAAACCTTAATCTCTTAAGCGGAAATGTACAAATGGAATGTGGAAGACGAGACTAGCATCTTCATCAAAACTCACTTCCCATCTTAATTATGAGCTAATTCCCAGTTGACGCATGTACACCACGCGTTGACAGTTTGGTGGAGAATCCGGGTAGAGTAACTTTTTAGCTTACTCCCGATCTTGAAAACCTCTCTATGTGCCTACCATTAACATGATGTATCAAGGATGATTCCCCAAGTTCTACGTCTACCTAAAGAGATTACAAGCGTCTTGATCAACATGGATCCTTAACGCCGCCATCTTCACGGGTGCATCATACATGGGTAAAATGTGTGAAGCCAATTTCTGGTGTTCCCGTGATATTGATGGAATATTGTTGATGGGATATACGCATTCATTTACCATAACCTTAATCTCTTAAGCTGAAATGTACAAATGGGATGTAGAAGACGAGACTAGCATATATCAAAACTCGACTTCCCCAAACCCGGGACCTTCAAGTTAAAATGTATAGTGGGATATAGAAGAATCGACTAGCATGTATCAAAATCCGACTTACCATAACCTGGAACCTTTAGGTTGAAATGTACAAGTGGGATATAGAAGATGAGACTAGCATGTATCAAAATCCGACTTACCAAAACCTGGAACCTTTAGGTTGAAATGTACAAGTGGGATGTAGAAGATGAGACTAGCATATATCAAAACCCGACTTACCAAAACCTGGAACCTTTAGGTTGAAATGTACAAGTGGGATGTAGAAGATGAGACTAGCATATATCAAAACCCGACTTACCAAAACCTGGAACCTTTTGGTTGAAATGTACAAGTGGGATGTAGAAGATGAGACTAGCATGTATCAAAATCCGACTTACCAAAACCTGGAACCTTTAGGTTGAAATGTACAAGTGGGATGTAGAAGACGAGACTAGCATATATCAAAATCCGACTTACCAAAACCTGGAACCTTTAGGTTGAAATGTACAAGTGGGATGTAGAAGATGAGACTAGCATATATCAAAATCCGACTTACCAAAACCTGGAACCTTTAGGTTAAAATGTACAAGTGGGATGTAAAAGACGAGACTAGCATATATCAAAACCCGACTTACCAAAACCTGGAACCTTTAGGTTGAAATGTACAAGTGGGAAGTAGAAGATGAGACCTCCCACGACAAAGAGGAAGGCGTACAGGAACTCGATTTGGGGATCCTCCACTATTGGGGCAATGACCAGGTACAGTGAGACCAGCAGCATGATGATCGGGATTGGGATTGGAACCTGGAACGGACACGTACATAACGAATGTCTCTTGACTCGGTGGTGTGGCAGTTTACAGGTTAAACACTGTCACTTGTATTATAAACAATAATAATAATAATAATAATAGTCCACTTATATAGCGCCATTCCAGGATGAATATCTTGCTCAAAGCGCTAAGAAGGAAAAGGAGTGTTCAGGCAAATGCTTGACGGAACAAGTGAGTCTTGAGAGATGTCCGGAAAGAAGAATAGGTTGGAGAAGTTCGTAGTTCTTGAGGGAGAATGTTCCACTGATAAGCTGCTGAATGGGAAACAGCCATTAATCCTGGTCTGCAAACAGAGAAACCTGACTAAAGACCTGCCCATAATGTAGTCACTATTCCATCGACCTTGACGGTTGACATCACTATACATACAACGTTTGCTTGCTTGTTGTTTTACGCCGCACTTAGCTATATTCAAGGAAAATGACATCGGTATTCAAATAATAAATTCTTGACCAGAAAATCCAGTGATTGATATCACGAGCATCACTCTAGGCAAATGGTTGCGATGACACTCGAGCCTGGCAACCCGATCTGTACGACAAGCATGGTTTCTAGAAGACTCGTATACATGTGTTTTGTACACGGATCTTCAGGGCTATATAACGACTAATAAATGTGTCAAACAGAACATAAAGCTGCAGTAAATTTACACCAGCTGTTATAAATTTGGTTACGATGTGGCATCTTGAAGTCATGCTTATATAGGTATATAAAGACACTGGGTTGATAACTGCCATATCACACTTGTTGCTGTGATACGGTATATAGTTTTGAGTTCTTGTATTACAGTGGCGGTGAGGTGAAACTAGGTGAGTGAACTCGGATTTCAGGTTGCGTTCCTGATTATCGCTCTTCATGTACGTGGAAGCTTGTGCGTTTGTGCGTTCGTGCGTTCTTTTCGTGGCTGCTTCTGAACTGATCCGTGTTACACTAAATTAATATAGTTTGCGGTTTAATCCCGATTTCAGTCTTTTCTATTTGGTCTCTGAGCGGACCAGTCCTGTGTTCCATTAATACCGAGCTTCAGCCTAGAATGGTAATAATATATGCCATCTACTCCACACGTCTTCATCTAATTAATACCGAGAGAGGAATGGTAATAATATATACCATCTTTTAACGTTAGGAGTAACACGGCCTCGGGATCGAACTACAATCTATCCAATAGACCACGGACGGGTCTATGGGTCTAGCCCATTGTTTAGATAACTTGACCGTCACGCAGGAGATCCGGGTTCGATTCCTCATATAAGTACAAGAGTTGGTGTCCCCCGTCATAACATTTTGTAATATTGCTGAATGCGACGTAAGACTCCCGTTTTTACCAGATGTAATAAGGAATTGAACTTTTGCTGTAAGAAGTGAGTTAATATTCAACGTTGCACCGGCATTGTTGTAGCCATATAGGGCCCGTAAGTAGGTCAAAGCACTTCGCGAGATCTTAGTACTTCCGGTGACAAACAACGTTTCATACCTTTTCGAATGGTCTTATGGTTGTCAGTTGACAGTAAGGAACTGATAATTCTTGCACGAATAACAAATTTCCGATCTAACCATCCCCAAATTAGCCAGCTATTACGACTGTCAACAGCTGTGACAGCCAAGCATGGTTGTACACTTGGTTCGGTCTGGTAAAGTCATATGTGGTGATCGCGCAATTTAGAACCAGAACTGGTTCTTGAATATACGCTTGTCACCGGAAATCTGGTACAGGAAGTAAGCTCGGCCCCGTCTCCCATATTGCAAGTTGGCGCGGGCAAAGGGAGCCGGAAGCCAGGTTAGTACCGCCTCGCGAGACTTACAGGCTCTATAGCGACGAGTACTGTAATTAGTACAAACTCCATAGCATCTAACTAAAGACATGGAATGGGAAACGCTTTCAGATGACTGGGGTGAGGATATAGTTTTAGGTCAGTTAAATTTGTGAAAATACGTTAGTATTTGAAATTCACGGACACTCAACACAACAAAAGGTGCTGTCATTTCCACCAACATTCTACAGGCAGCACTGCCACAAATGTAACGTGATTACAATGACCGGAGTAAATATTTCAGCCATATTTCCCCGAAACAATCGCAATCAAAACAATAATGGCTTTGAAACAAGCTTTGAAAGAAACCTCGGGAACGTAATATAAAAAATCAGGAATGAAGAAGATGTGAATGTATTCCTCCCACAATCATAGCATGAACGTTTACCCTATCTCTGCACCTGAGCCAAGCACACAACCCTCCACATAGAACACTCATCTGAACATTTAAAGCCCCTTGAGGTCCCCAGAACAGCCAACAGTAGCGACCAGTAGTCGCTTAGCGTAAAACAATATCAGGTCAAGAAGGGGCTGTGGTGTAGACTTGTGGTTGAAGCGTTCGTTCGTCACGCCGAAATCCCGGGTTCGATTCCCAAACTGAATACAATGATTGCGTGAAGGCAATTTCTGGCTTCATCTGCGGTGATGTTGCTGGATTATTGCTTCATTTCTGGCTTCATCTGCGGTGATATTGCTGGATTATTGCTTCAAGCGCCGTAAATCCCAAGTCACTCACTCAGATGAATAAAGTCTGTAAAGTCGGTGATTTCCTCCAGACGTCAGTTGAACATTTGATGTCCCCTAGACCCGTCCATATATATTCCTTTCTAACTTCGATGACATAAACATACAGATTTTCCTATGTTGAAACTGTAGACAAAAGAATTACTACTTACTACCTAATGCAAATCTGTGGTGAATATTTACAACGCCAGAGTTGCTCTTTACCTTATATGGTCTTGGCGCATCCTTCATCTTGAACCTGAGGACGATAAGAGAGAGGAAGGTCATGCCGTAGAACATCCATGCGGTGAAGCTGAAGAAGTCAATGAGGCTGCCTATGTCGCCGGGGATGATCATGAGGAGTGCGATGAAAATCTGTAAGATGAAATGATGGTTCAGTTGCTGGAACCAGTCACTTGAAGTACATGATAGCTGCATATCACTTCCTTCATCATCTAACATTTCCAACTGCAGAAACAGATTTCATTGGGTCACTGTAAAAGGCAATATCAGTTATATGAATCGTTTTCGAAATTTCGAACTCTTGCAATAGAACTGAAATTACGGATAACATATTAACTAGAAGAAAAAAAAACCCACGAAATTCCGAAATGAAATTATATATTACAAATAATGAGCCAAACTATTTCCATAAACAATGCCATTCAAAGTGGCAACATCAGGTTTGAACAGAAAATTCGTCATCTTCGAAGTAAAATTGACTGAAGACATATACCAATGTAACGAAACCCAAGAGCACAATATGTAGCTGGCCTGAAAATCTAATGAAAAATACAACTTGTTAAACAATTGACACACCAATAATCTTTGGGTATTTTTTATTTATTTCTTTATACAGCGCCAATATCCAGATCACCTGCTCAAAGGCGCTTTGTGACTGACGAATGATCACATGTGCTGTGAATGAAAGTATGTTTGAATTTTAATTTAAACCATAAAGATAATCACAAAAACTTCAAATATGTTCTTTACCCAATGTACTGGTTCTCAGAAAACATATATTGCAATACGTATCGTTTGAAAAGCGTATTGCAATATACCGGTATACCGGTAATACCATGCACTCCTAGTTAAACACGACACCAATGTTTTGGTTTCGTGTAAAATCTCAAGCAAGGGTAAACATTTGACAGAAAAGACATCAAAGACAAAGGAATGACGTCCCTGAAGGTATATAATTTGGCATGAGGGGACTCACCGTGAACATCATGGAGGGCAGGGGAGTTAACTGCTTCACTTGGATGTAGGACAATATCTCGGGCAGATTGTTGTCCCTGGCAGCCGCATATACGACCCTAGAAACACAGACAGTTCTGAGTCAGAACATATATTTATTCACATACAATGTGATGATGCACAGTTATAATTTAACCAGTCCACTCCATAAATATTGAATATCATCAGGTTCTCCATAACTGTACTCCGGTAATAGCGCCAACTTTGCTGATGTTGAAGTTAGCAACGTTCATTCGTTGACTTCAGCACGTGACGCCAACACATGCAGATGAGATTTATTCTATTACAGAGAGTGAGTTGGGTTTTACGCCGCTTTTAGCAATATTCCCGCAACATTGGGAAGGGGACTCAAGAAATGGTCTTCACACATTGTACCCATGTGGGGAATCGAACCCGGGTCTTCGGTGTGACGAGCAAATGCTTTAACCACTCGGCTACACACGTTTAAGTTCGATAAAGGTTCTCATTTAACCAGCTTTGATCCGCTGGTACTGAACGAATATAATAGTATCGAGTCGGTTATCATGTGTCCTTCGACTCGGATTGGTGCTGGACTTCTCTAATACTTGTCTAAGGGAGACATGCAGACATACACAATGTTCAGACGGTGGAATAGCTAACCTTCCTCCAGTGAAAGCAGTTCCATTGGTTGCACCAAACGTTGACACCATCACGGACAGTGGCATAATGACGGCGGCTACCCCAAGAACGCGGTCTCCCCAGGTCTACAAAAAGTTAGAGAATTCTTCCATTGAAACTATGAACCTGAATGATTCACTGTTGAAACTAACCAGAACAATTCACTGTTGAATTTAACAACCAGAAGAATTCACTATTGAAACCTAACAGCCAGAAGAATTCTCTCTCAGTAAAGTACAAATTCTAGCACTTTTGGGGGTTGAGTCCCATGCGGGATTCGAACCCACACCCTCAGAGTCAGGCACCTAATCGCCAGCACACAAAATCAGCTGCCTAACCCGCTCAACCACCGCATTTGACCACTTTCTGAAATGACATTGTGTAATCATAGCTTTCGGCCGTGGGACCCGTGCTTAATTACAGCTATCAAATGGGTACACAAAATCATCAGTCTAGACTACCAGTTGTCCGACTTCCATTTTGTGGAAGTGTAATCCCAAATATTACATATATCACATTTGACCACCTTCTAAAATGGCATTGTGTAATCACAAATAAGAGCTATAAGTCTGTTTGCAGTGAAACGTACCGATGAATTTCACTTCAAACAAAAGTGTAAATCAAATAAAGTGAAATTAAGATTGCGAATCCTCATAATTTTACCTTGCTATTTGAACATTTAAATCTGAGAATTTCATTCAACTTAAGATAAAAGTTGTTCAATAACGATCATAGTTCAAATCGCTATTATTGGTTTGTATTACAAGGGGGTATGCACATTAAATAAAACACCGAGAACAAGTAGGGTTGGTCTAAGTTAACGCCCATCACGTACCTCACGTGCATTTGTTTCACTGTTACAACCACTGCACTTACCCCTTGTAATACAAACCAGTAATAGCGATTTTCGGTACGTTTTCACTGCAAACAGACTATACAGGTTCTTCTGTTCGTCGGTTTACTACTTGCATCAATGAACTCTGTCCTGACTAGATATGACATGCTAAAGCGTAAATATGTATCGGCTACTCTTGGGCAGTCGTCTAGGTGATACACAAGTTGTTATCCACAAAATATCTTACCTTTCTTATTATTCATCAACTTCTAAAATGCCAGTCAAACAGATTGGTGGTACATGTTTAGAAAATACGTACTGACAGCTCATCCGTCGGAATGACTGGACATCTAACAGTTCCTAGGTAATCATCGGACAAGCTGACCACTCACCACAGCAACTGCATTGGAGTTTAGCAGCTCCTGTGTAGTCATCACGGTGAGGTAGGAGATGTTGGTCAAGACGTAGACGATGGTGACGAGAAGGACAGCTATGATGTTTGCACGTGGAAGATTTCTGTTCATGGTGAATAAGGGAAAACATAATGCCCTGACTTCATGGATACTGAATGTTTGCAGTAACACGTATGGGAAAGACCTTAAAATATGAACCTGTCACAATTACAACAAGAGTGAGTTGGGTTTAACCCCGATTTGCACAGCATCCCAGTTACCGAGTTTATGCGGTAGAAAGCCCAGCATGGTCAATCATTTAATACCACTGTGAGTGTGTGAGTGAGTGAGTGAGTGAGTGAGTGAGTGAGTGAGGTGAGTGTGGTTTTACGCCGTTTTATAGCAATAATCCAGCAATATCACAGCGGGGAACACCAGAAATAGGCTTTACACATTGTACGCGTGTACGTCTGCGGCTTGACGAGCCAACGCTTTAAGCACCCGGATGCCCCACCGCCCAGCATTGTGACTCCCACGAGGTCAGATGATGGTGTTGACAAACATTGAACCCTAATCGCAGTGAACATGGATTCGAACCCATAGTCACAGGTTCCTTACGTACCAAAGGGGCACAACTCTGAACCCCGAATTGCATTACCTTAGATCCCTCCTGCCCCAGATACAAGAACTTTGTATAGAATCCCCATTTGATATTAACCTGATCGTCATTATTCTGATTCACTCACTTCGAGGGAGACTTCAGCTCTTCCGTAACGTAATTAAGGTTGTTCCTGGGGAAAAGAATCGATTTAGTACGAGACCGTATCGAATTATATTCGTAATAAAATATCACGAACGCGAAATGATTTGATGTCTGTGGTCTGTCAACTTACCAGCCGTCATATGCCCACAAGGCTCCGTAGAAAGCCAGTGCAATCGTTGATGGTGATTCTGTGGAGCCCTTGAAGCCCTCTGCCACGACGCTGGTGTTCCCTTTGATGAGGAATAAGTACAGGTGCCTGCTGCGGTTATTCCCATACAGTAAACAACGCTTATAGGGAACACGCTTATAACGAAAGGACGGACATAAGGAACTGTTGGTCTCAGCCACTTCATATTTATGAGTTGCCTTTAAGTTGGAACCGTAGTTAACTGAATGTTGGAAGCTGCACTGTAATGCAAGATAAATATTTAACAACTCATGATGATCCAGTTCAAAATTGATATTCAGCAACCCATGCTTGTCGTAAGAGGCGACTAACGGGATCGGATGGTCAGGTTGACACATGTCATCGTATTCCAAATGCGTACATCGATGCTCATGCTGTTGATCACTGGTTTGTCTGGTCCAGGCTCGATTGTTACTGAAACAGCGTCGCCGATACTAAGAAAGGGTGAATTGAAGATCATATGATATAATGCAAAATAAAGAAAACAGCGAAAGGCGCTGTCTCGGTTATCCGGCAAAATCTATTCCATTGAGAGTATATAGCCAAGCAGCGGTGAAGATTATATGAATGGATCCCTGAATATCTGTGATCAAATTACGTTTTCGCGAGTTGGGTAAGCAATGTCCCGCCCTTTAATTAAGATGTAATTGTTCATAGTAGTGTGGTCCAGATTACAAAATTTCAAATAGTGTGAGACATGTTGTGATTTTTCTTTCACAATCTTAAGAAAATGTAAGGCTTTCAGATTCAACAACGTACGGTTTTTTGTCTGATTAAGACTGACTGACTGACTGAGTTTGGTTTTACGCCGCTTTTAGCAATATTCCAGCAACATCACGGCGGGGGACACCAGAAATGGGCTTCACACATTGTGCCCATGTGGGGATTCGAACCCGGGTCTTCGGCGTAACGAGCCAACGCTTTAACCATTAGGCTACCCCACCTCCCCGTCTCATTAAGAAGAGTCTGTGTCAAGTTTTGACGTTCCAAATCAATATCAAGAACTATATTCTCTGATAAATACATTGGGCTCTGACAAGAGCCGCCCATCAGCAATCGTTGTTGGCGTCTTTGATTTCTTTCAGTGGCACAAAGTAGTCTTGCTCTTACTTTGTGCAGACCCATTGGTTCCAAGAAGAGGCAACACATCCTCCAAATGAATGGTATAATTTGGCCTTCGTCCTTTCGGCCACGGCTTTGCCGACGTATGTTAGATGCCAGAAACAGATTCAATAGAATGAGTGAGTGAGTTTAGATTTAAGCCGTTTTTAAGAATATTTCAGCAATGTCACAGCGGGCGACACCAGAGATAGGCTTCACACATTGTATCCATGTGGGGAATCGAACCCGGGAACAAACACTTTAACCACGAGGCTACCCCACCGCCCCAGACTCAATAGAAACAGAAGATGGGAGTTGATTGGTTGGAAAGACTGCCAACGTCATTTCATCCATCAGGCAATGCTGTCGTAACAGCCAATGAATTTCTAAAGGTTCATTGAATCTAAGGCTAATTTTCTCAAGTATATTTCAAGCAACAATGGGTGGATGTTCAGAATCTAAATGGTCTCAGGCACAATTAAAACGTTTCTGTTGACGTCCGATCGAAACTGGCAGACTCGTGCTGATACAGACAACACACATCAATCCAGGGTACATCAGTTTGACAGTATAATATCTTCGAAAGGTATTTAACTCACTTAGTGCAATGGCCGCCACTATCTTTATGGGAATGTTCGGATGACCACACATGGCAAACAAACTCTCCACGTAGTTGGCGAACGTCAACGTGATGATCGCCAGCGACGACGTCCTGATGACAATGACGGACGTCCAGGAGAAGAGGAAGGCGGGGATGTTGCCGAGGGCGATGCGGATGTAGGCGTACTCCCCTCCCGACAGTCGGATCAGCGTCCCCAGCTCGGAGTAGGACAAGGCACCTGGTTTAGAGATCGAGTTCTTTGATCAGGAAGTGATGATACATTTATTACACCATCGCATCGTGGACTAGTTACTGGAATACTTGACGACCATAATTGGCCTGACATATAGATATACAACATCTTATTACACTCATTGCAAGTATTTGATGTAGATACCAACGCCGTTATCAAGCGCTTGGTAAGACACAGGTTCACTTTGATCCTAAGAATAGCATCATCTTGGAGTAGATTCTCACAACCTTATGAAGCACTGTCGCACTCATTGTCATAAAAAGAATGTGGATACTGACCCCGTTAGCAAGTACTAGATTACAATCTAGCGGGAAACTAAACTAATATGTCCCTCACGCATTCAACGTAGGAACGTTGGAACTTAGGCTAACTGTGATGCTAGGATATGTTGGTCTTGGATATATATTCAAATTTGCACCACTGCCACTGAGCCTTTGACCCAGCCTGCCAAATAGCTATCATACCCGACTTCCTCACTCACTCACCTGACAGGGGGTACTGTCATGTGCACCTACCCAGGAGCGCGATGAGTCCCGAGGCTGCCCACACCACCAGACTGAGTCCCACCGACCCCGTGTCCCTCAGGACACCCTTGGGGGAGATGAAAATACCCGACCCTGAAAACAATAGTGATTTACGTTGCTATTGGGAGGAGACAAATGGTTCAGGAATATAAATAAATTCGAATAAGACACATCAAACCATTTCCAGAATTTTAACAAATTTCCGCTAAAAGCTGTATCCATATGCATTGCACAATTCCGACTACATTGAAATCAAATGTCTATATTTTTCATGTTCTGATATTTTCGAAGAAAATATATATTCTCTTCTTCTGTGAGAAATGTAAACAAAGTCGACGAACTTTCTGAAAAGAATTCTTCAATGATTAATTTTGCCTTGAATTATCTGTGTTGTTTACATACATTATTGTCAGTAGCAAACTTATTATTCATCACATCGTTTCTGGGATAAATCCTGCTTATATGCATCGTATGTGTACTTGTCCTGTCAACGTACATGCCTGCCTTCGATGGAATGAAATCAGTGACACTTGCAAATATTTTTTAATCATGGTCACTGAATATCCATTTGGTTCAGATGGGAGCAAATTTGTTCTGCGGAAGCAAATGGTTGAAGTGCTCATAAAATAACATATGATACAGTGACCGTGTGATCAGAGTTACAAGCCCTGGTTGTCGTAAACACACAAGATAAGATAGATTAATTATTCGCGAAGTTTCTTGATGTGAGTTTCTGGAAGGGTGACATGCATCTTATCTACTTGCCAAGGACGGAATCCAGTTGGCTTCCAACTCTCCTGGGGATTCAGGAATGGAGACATTTGTATCAAACCATTCTAGGGTCACAATTATGGACATGCTGGAGTACACGTAATTGATTCCTGGGCCTCTTATTTCACAAACTTAATTGACCCGTTTCTTTTTTAGTTTATGATACTTAACTGTGTATTTGAATATGATGTGTTTATCCAGTGTTGTCAATTGCATATTTCACACTTAAATTCAAGGTTAACCTCTGTGTTTCAAATCACCACAGCACTTTGCATCACATAATTCATTCAAGATTCTCCCCAATCAGGATGCTTGGTGTGTTTAATATAAGACAGAGAAGCTGTGGGTTCCACGGATCATGACACACCAAACTATAACATCGGGAGAGACCCTGCTTTCCACCAACTCCTCGCACCAATATTACCTATGATAGTTCCGACGATGATAGATATTCCGCTGATGAGTCCCACATTTCGCTGCATCTGAACGACGTCTCCCGTGGTGGTGGAGTTGTCGTCCTTGCTCTCAGACTGAGACTCCGGCTGGACATTGCGTTGCCGGAGAGAGTCGACGTCTTCATTCTCCCCATCGGGAACTAAAAAGAAATATATTTCATTGACGGAAGGACCACTAGGTGGTGGAGCTATAATTATTTTGAAAAACGTCATTTTCTCCAGATATTTTTTGACTCAAGGTTTATAAAACGTCCTGAAATATGTGGTAAGGACAAAATCAAACAGTTATCGATCTGTAGTTAAACAGTTACAGTAAAAACGTGTTGTTTAGTTTTGACTGTAAACATGTTCTGTTTCTTTTAGATAGTAACAGTAAAATGTTCTGTTTTAGAGAATCAGTGTATATGACAGACAGACAGACATATTTCTTCAATAAAGAGGCCTTGGGCCCATGATACATATACAGATAACTGCAAGACTTAAGTGCTTATGGATTAATAGTGTTGGCTCTCAGTTTCCATACTTTATATAAATACAAACGTATACTATGTAGGGTAGAGACATTACTGTGTACCAGCAATAACTGTAAGGCTAAGTACTTATGGGTTAATAGTGTTGGCTCTCAGTTTCCATACTTTATATAAATACAGACGTATACTATGCAGGGTAGAGACATTACAGTGTACCAGCAATAACTGTAAGGCTAAGTACTCGTGGGTTAGTAGTGTTGGCTCTCAGTTTCCATACTTTATATAAATACAGACGTATACTATGCAGGGTAGAGACATTACTGTGTACCAGCAATAACTGCAAGGCTAAGTGCTTATGGATTAATAGTGTTGGCTCTCAGTTTCCATACTTCATATAAATACAAACGCATACTTTGCAGGGGTAGAGACATTACTGTGTACCAGTAATAACTGCAAGGCTAAGTGCTTATGGATTAATAGTGTTGGCTCTCAGTTTCCATACTTTATATAAATACAAACGCATACTTTGCAGGGTAGAGACATTACCGTGTACCAGTAATAACTGCAAGGCTAAGTGCTTATGGATTAATAGTGTTGGCTCTCAGTTTCCATACTTTATATAAATACAAACGCATACTTTGCAGGGTAGAGACATTACTGTGTACCAGTAATAACTGCAAGGCTAAGTGCTTATGGATTAATAGTGTTGGCTCTCAGTTTCCATACTTTATATAAATACAAACGCATACTTTGCAGGGTAGAGACATTACTGTGTACCAGTAATAACTGCAAGGCTAAGTGCTTATGGATTAATAGTGTTGGCTCTCAGTTTCCATACTTTATATAAATACAAACGCATACTGTTGCAGGCTAAGGCTTATGGATTTCATAGCGTTGGCCTTGGGGCCTATAATTTATGATAAACATGTCCACCTGTGGTAGATACATTTACTGGTAATAACTGCAAGGCTAAATGCTTATGGATTAATAGTGTTGGCTCTCAGTTTCCATACTTTATATAAATACAAACGCATACTTTGCAGGGTAGAGACATTACCGTGTACCAGTAATAACTGCAAGGCTAAGTGCTTATGGATTAATAGTGTTGGCTCTCAGTTTCCATACTTTATATAAATACAAACGCATACTTTGCAGGGTAGAGACATTACCGTGTACCAGTAATAACTGCAAGGCTAAGTGCTTATGGATTAATAGTGTTGGCTCTCAGTTTCCATACTTTATATAAATACAAACGCATACTTTGCAGGGTAGAGACATTACTGTGTACCAGTAATAACTGCAAGGCTAAGTGCTTATGGATTAATAGTGTTGGCTCTCAGTTTCCATACTTTATATAAATACAAACGCATACTTTGCAGGGTAGAGACATTACCGTGTACCAGTAATAACTGCAAGGCTAAGTGCTTATGGATTAATAGTGTTGGCTCTCAGTTTCCATACTTTATATAAATACAAACGCATACTTTGCAGGGTAGAGACATTACCGTGTACCAGTAATAACTGCAAGGCTAAGTGCTTATGGATTAATAGTGTTGGCTCTCAGTTTCCATACTTTATATAAATACAAACGCATACTTTGCAGGGTAGAGACATTACTGTGTACCAGTAATAACTGCAAGGCTAAGTGCTTATGGATTAATAGTGTTGGCTCTCAGTTTCCATACTTTATATAAATACAAACGCATACTTTGCAGGGTAGAGACATTACTGTGTACCAGTAATAACTGCAAGGCTAAGTGCTTATGGATTAATAGTGTTGGCTCTCAGTTTCCATACTTTATATAAATACAAACGCATACTTTGCAGGGTAGAGACATTACTGTGTACCAGTAATAACTGCAAGGCTAAGTGCTTATGGATTAATAGTGTTGGCTCTCAGTTTCCATACTTTATATAAATACAAACGCATACTTTGCAGGGTAGAGACATTACTGTGTACCAGTAATAACTGCAAGGCTAAGTGCTTATGGATTAATAGTGTTGGCTCTCAGTTTCCATACTTTATATAAATACAAACGCATACTTTGCAGGGTAGAGACATTACTGTGTACCAGTAATAACTGTAAGACTAAGTACTTGTGGGTTAGTAGTGTTGGCTCTCAAGAATCAGTATATATAGGGTGTTTCTAAAAGGAATTCCACCCAACAGCAATAATTATGTACATACTCAAGTGAAAAAGTGATACCTGCTATGGAATCATGTTTTGCGTTTTGGGTTTTACATCTACTCGAACATTTCCGCATTGGCTTTCTCTGCATGCTTTCATGGGCGTGGCGGCAGTTATGGTAACACGTGTGATATTATTGTAGAACTGCTCTGCTTGCAAAGGTGATCACTGCATACTATTATAGATGAATGGCATTGAGTAATCATATTATATATGAGGCTTGGTATTTACATTGTCAAGAAACGTTTGGAGTTTTTGACGACGCACGAATAATGAAATACATGATAACTAGGGACAAGGGACAGTCACTAATGGAATAACATGTAGTCATGGTATATGTCTGTTATACCCTTGTGCAGTTCCATCAGGAAACATATATGCCTGTTATACCCTTCTGCAGTTTCGTCAGGAAACATATATCTCTGTTATACCCTTCTGCAGTTTCGTCAGGAAACATATATGTCTATTATATCCTTTGACAGTTTCTTCAGGAGACATATATGTCTGTTATACCCTTCTGCAGTTCCATCAGGAAACATATATGTCTGTTATACCCTTTGACAGTTTCGTAAGGAAACATATATGTCTGTTATACCTTTTGACACTTTCGTCAGGAAACATATATGTCTGTTATACCTTTGACAGTTTCGTCAGGAAACATATATGTCTGTTATACCCTTTGACAGTTTTTGTCGGGAAACATATATCTCCGTTATCCCCTTGTTCAGTTTCGTCAGGAAACATATATGTCTGTTATACTCTTTGAGAGTTTCGTCAGGAAACATATATCTCTGTTATGCCCTTTGACAGTTTAGCCAGGAAACATATATCTGTAATACCCTTGTGCTGTTTCGTCAGGAAACATATATCTCTGTTATACCCTTGCACAGTTTCGTCAGGAAACATATATCTGTTATACCCTTGTACAGTTTAGTAGGGAAACATATATCTCTGTTATGCCCTTTGACAGTTTAGCCAGGAAACATATATATATGTTATAGCCTTTGACAGTTTAGCCAGGAAACATATATCTGTTATACCCTTTGACAGTTTAGCCAGGAAACATATATCTGTTATACCCTTTGACAGTATAGTCAGGAAACATATATCTCTGTTATTCCCTTGTACAGTTTAGTCAGGAAACATATATCTGTTATACCCTTTGACAGTTTAGCCAGGAAACATATATCTGTTATACCCTTCTGCAGTTTCGTCAGGAAACATATATGTCTGTTATACCCTTCTGCAGTTTCGTCAGGAAACATATATGTCTATTATATCCTTTGACAGTTTCTTCAGGAGACATATATGTCTGTTATACCCTTCTGCAGTTCCATCAGGAAACATATATGTCTGTTATACCCTTTGACAGTTTCGTAAGGAAACATATATGTCTGTTATACCTTTTGACACTTTCTGTCAGGAAACATATATGTCTGTTATACCTTTGACAGTTCTCGTCAGGAAACATATATGTCTGTTATACCCTTTGACAGTTTCGTCGGGAAACATATATCCTCTTATCCCCTTTGTGCAGTTTCGTCAGGAAACATATATGTCTGTTATACTCTTTGAGAGTTTCGTCAGGAAACATATATGTCTGTTTTACCCTTGCACAGTTTAGTCAGGAAACATATATCTGTTATACCCCCTTTGTGCTGTTTCGTCAGGAAACATATATCTCTGTTATACCCTTGCACAGTTTCTGTCAGGAAACATATATCTGTTATACCCTTGTACAGTTTAGTAGGGAAACATATATCTCTGTTATGCCCTTTGACAGTTTAGCCAGGAAACATATATATGTTATACCCTTTGACAGTTTAGCCAGGAAACATATATCTGTTATACCCTTTTGACAGTTTAGCCAGGAAACATATATCTGTTATACCCTTTGACAGTATAGTCAGGAAACATATATCTCTGTTATTCCCTTGTACAGTTTAGTCAGGAAACATATATCTGTTATACCCTTTGACAGTTTAGCCAGGAAACATATATCTGTTATACCCTTTGACAGTTTAGCCAGGAAACATATATCTGTTATACCCTTTGACAGTATAGTCAGGAAACATATATCTCTGTTATTCCCTTGTACAGTTTAGTGAGGAAACATATATCTGTTATACCCTTTGACAGTTTAGTCAGGAAACAGGCTATTGGTTATAACCTTTCTCAACATTATTGATAAATGCTTCTGAAACTATGATGACACACCCACCTATTTCAAGGGAATACTAAACATCAATGATCTTGAGCACGTGTGTAAGAATACGTTAGGCTTAAATACGACGAGCCAACGAAAGAAATAACGCATTAAGCGCCTAGTGCCGGCCCGAGGGCGCAAGGAATACGGCGTATTACGTATGCATGTCCGAAACAAGATATCACTAAAGATATCTATTGTCAACAATGCTCGTCACCAACGAAGTGGATCCCTTACACCGCGCTATGAAACCGCGCGTGTATAACATGACTGTC